AAAAATATATAAAATATTAATCAAAATTAATAGAAGTATATAAAATATTAATTTTTTTGCCAAATACAAAATATTAATTAATTATAATAAATTTACATTTTATAAAAGGTATTGTGAAAAATATTTATATAAAATATGATTGAATAAAACTTAAATGACTCAAAAAAAATTTGAAATTTTAGCCCCCTAACTCAAATTTCTACCGTCCCTGGTTGGTTGCGAATCGTGATAAACTCTACTTAGTTCGCAGACCACCAATCTTGGGTGGGTTATTATCAGCTTTTAAAGGGTTAATGTGGTATTAAAAAATAATATATTTTTTAAAAAATTTTTAATTATATTTTATATAATATATTAAATTTTTATTTAAAAAATTAAATTAAGTTCATTAAAAATAAAAAATATTGGGTGGGTTATTATCAGCTTTTAAAGGGTTAATGTGGTATTAAAAAATAATATATTTTTTAAAAAATTTTTAATTATATAATAAGAGATTATTTTATTTAATTTGTTAACTAACTTCAAATCCTCTTAATTTTAAGATAAAAAATTACCACTAATTATTTAAGTCGTTAATTAAAATATTGTATTTTTAATTTTATATTCTTATAATTAATGAATTCTTAAAAACAGCATTTGTACTTATTTCGGCCAATTAATTAAGATTATTTTCTTTAAACCAAAGAAGCAGTAGCAATTAGATTCATTATGTTGATATTAAATGAAAGGAACAAAATCATAAGAACATGGTAACTCCTGTTCCTACTTTGAACGTTAGGAGAAAAAAAAGAGAGAAAACTCTCGGTCCTCGTTTTCCTTTCGTTTTCCCTTGTTTTTATCCTGTTGGATGCAGTCTTTTGTTTTCCCTTGTTTTTTTATCCTATTGGAAGCACTCTGTTTTTCTTCTTTCCTTTTATAAAAAGTTTTAACTAAAATTTTCATCTAAATTTATTTCATTAAAAAAAAAATTTTGAAAAAAAAAGGTCTTTCTTCTTGACGGAGTTCTTTACTTACCAGACTTTAATTTCCCATTTTATTTTTTTTCTAACAAGTGAAATTAAACTTTCTTTCATTTCTTTATTTACCGTAACTTCTATGACTATTATTTAAATTTAAAATCTCTCATTTTTATCTAAAAATTACTATTGTACTTCTTAAATTGTTGCTTCTCTTATTAATTACTTAGTTGATTTTTTTTTTTTTTATCTTGGTTGCACAATAGGAAGCAACTATCTTCTATCCCTTATTTCACTCCATTTGCATATTAGGCGATTTGAACTCAAGATGTCTTACTTCCAGTGAAATAAAATGACCACTAAATTATTTAAGTTGTTGACTTATTTACTTAGTTGATTATAATCTCGCAAAATTGGACAACTTTATTGGTTATAGTAACCCCTTTTTTTTAAACAAACTTTCTCGTAATTTTGTTTTGAATTTTTCTATTAGGATAAGGGTTTAATAAAAGTATTTTTTAAATTAATTTTTATTGAAAGTGTAAATGTTGACTTAAGTTTAATCAATTAACTAATTAAAATTATTTACGTGTTAATAATGTTAAAATATATGTCAATTTTTATAATTTTTAATGTAAATTAATTATAAAAAAATATTTATTACATTTTAAACTTATGCCCTCATGACACAAGGAAGACAAAGTCTTTTGTTTTTAAAGAAATTTAGAGGTGAAATATTGAATGGTAGCTGGTGCGTGGTTGACTTGGTACCTGGATTCAAAATTAATTTCCCATAATTATTGGAGATCGAAAAGGAAATGAGATCCAGGTTTGCAACTTGTAACATGGGACTTCTTCCAATGGTATGGAATTTCGGAGCTTTCATATATGTATTAGAGTGCGGGTCGGTTTGAATTTCAGGATGACTGGAACAAATTAAATTCGATCACATATTAAATTGAAAAAATGTTCCACTTGAAATTAGAAATAAATAAACAAAAAATAAAAATAAAAAAGACGAAAAATAAAAGAAAAAGATCCAACGATTTAAGTGGTTCTATAAGCGAAGTTAATATAAAACAAGGGGGGTAGCCGCTTGCAAAACTTTTGAATAATGTCAAATATGGTGAAATAGTTTTTATTTACTATAAAAATTTGTTTTTGGAGTTTGATTTATAGGTACAATTTCAAATATAAATATATAGATATATATTTAGGATCTAGGTAAAGAGATCATTTCTCTGTTTGTACTAATTCTTAGAACATGATCATTTCATCTAGATAAGAAAAAATATTTAAAAAAATAGTCAAAATCTAATTATATTGATGTAAAATTTTACATAATTTAATTTGATAAAATACGGTAATCATACAAAAAAATATTTTTATACTATGTATTTAAGGATCATAAATCATATGTTATTTAAAAATAATTAAATATATATAATTAATTTAAAATTTAAAATCTATTATATAAGTAGTACATGGCACATAAAATTAGGAATTGATATAAAATTTGGTATAAATTATATTAGTGTGAACATAAAACACAAAAATTTTTAGAATTCTACCCCTTGATTCAAATGTTTAGATCCATTTCTGTCTGTAATAAGTTGAGATTTTGATTTTAAATTATATAATACTCGATATCTTATATATAAGTAAAAATATAAAATAGATTTGTTGTTACACAATTTAAAGTTAAAAGTAGGGGTGTGGTTATACTCACTCATGATAATGTTAAGATCAAACAATATTTATTTTTAAAATATTAATTTTTAAAAAAATTTACTTATTAAAAATGACTAATAATTAATAAAATATTTAATATTTGTTAGTTAATAAGTTAAAATCAACTTTTAAATTGATATTTTCTTATATCCTAATCAATTATTTAAAAAAATTATAAATTAATAATAAATAAATAAAAATAAATAAAATTTATGTAGTCTTACCATTGTAGCCATAATCACACTACAAGAAAATTAGTGAAGAACAATTTTAATGATGTAAGACATGATATCATATATTTTGTTGACCTAAAACAACCTTCCGTCGTCTACTAAAAGGACATCCTCTTTTTCTTTTCGTCCTTCTGGATAATAAAATTCTTCTCCCGCGTGTCTCGTGATTGCATGGACGGTTTGGCTGCGGATGGAAATGGAAATGGAAATGGAAATGTATACATCTATGCATTTCATTTTTCTTTCTTTCTTTTTTTCTTCCGTACGGTAAACATGATTTTGGGCGAGTTTGTGACTTTGAGGACTAATTCTTTTTGAGACACTGGCATAATATTCTCTTATTTATATAATTTATAACGTATTTATTAAAAAATTATTATTATTAGATTTAAATTAAGTGAGAAAACATAATGTGACTAATTTTAATGGTTGAATTAATGGATATTAACAAATATGTTAAATTGAAAAATATATCAATAATTTTTCTTAATTTGTAGTGTTATTATTGTAAAATATTTTTTTATTTAAAATGTACATTTCATCACATTGATTCAATGTATTTAGGGCAATTAACAAATAAAGTAGTTTACAAACTATTTGTGAGTTAATTATTTGAGTCAAATTTTAACTCACTTATTAAAAGAGTTAAATTTGAATTTGATTATAAAATTGAACTTTTGAGCTTGAGTTCACATGTAAATCCATAGAAGCTACAAGCTAGTATTCTGTTTAGCATTAAAAATTTTATTATTATCACATTTTTTTTAATTAAGCTAGAAGCTTTTTTTTTTTTTTTTTCAGCTAAAAAAAATTTATTAAAAGAGTATAAAAGGTACTTCAACCCGTTACAAAATGAGCAATCAAATGTGTGTGCAAACTTCCCTTAAAAGTAAATCAAACAATTTCACCAAGGCACTCACAAATTAGATGGACGCAATATGGAAAGCTTACATGGATATTCCAAAACCTCAACATAAAACTAAGTAGAATTTGTTGTTGGCTAGGTTATACTTAAATGATTCTTTGTTGGAACATTCTTTATTACAATCATAGGAAACAAGCTCTAGAACTAACTCAAGCTGAACTAGGTGTAGCTTGCTTAAATGCAAACAAGCTTAAGCTCAACAACTCAAATCATTTTAAACTCAATAAATACTTAAGTTCAACTCAATCTTAACAATATAAGATGAACTAGTTTTTTTTTTTTGGATATCTAATGGTTGATATATTATTATTTATAATTCAAAATATTTAATTCATTCAATTAAAACTAACAGATAATAGTCGTTTACAAAACACCAAAACAAACATTCTTTTATTCTCATAAAAAAAAAGAATTAATTAATATCATTTTTTTAATTAAAATTTTAAATTATAAAAAAAATCATTTAATTAAAATCAAAGTCAATTTTCACTTTATTTTCAGTTGAAATTAATTCATTTCTAATATACTTTACCAATTCAAGCTTAAAAGCTTATGACTAACTTGGAAGTTCGACTACCTATCACTTAAATGTTGAATCCCACTCACTGCTCTTTCCCCTGCATTGCCTCCTTTTATATACAACTTTACTTTATTGAAGCCTAAGCCTTTCACGCATGCCTATTAGTACTTCCACCCCCAGCACCATCCAATTTGTGCACTTTCTCATGACAGTCCCTATCAAAGGCTTTCCTTTCCCTTTCCTTTACATATAACGAGAGAGGAGGATTGTAGAACACTGGAACATATGGCTGCTTTCTAAGGCAACCATTGATTTGTGGTGGGGGCCAGGAATTTGGCAAATTACCATCTTTGCTATATATGGAGATCATGAAGATGGAGGAGGGAGTATAATTTCTTGGGTTTCACTCAAATTAAAGCTGCTCCTCTTCCAACATGCGCACTTTAATTAGTACTCTTTGTCCTGTTCTTCCATCACCTTGCTACCAGAGTATTGATGAAGGGTGAAATCTGGAAAAACTGCTTTGGAATGGGATTTTGTTCACTACTTATCTTTCAAAACATTCAACTTTATATAGCTTGATTTAAACTTAAGAAAGAAACTCAACCATATATTAGAGTTAAACATTTAAAACCCTTATTTAATTAAATAGCTGATCAAATTTTAGACAAACTATAAAAAGCGAATAAATTAAACATAGTGCATGACTGTAAGAAATAATTGTTCTTTACTGGTACTAATCATTAATGAAAAGTATTGATTCATCAACGAAAACATTTTAAAATTCAACTTATGAGGATAAAACAAAAACGCAACTAGAACCAAATTTTCAAACAAGGAAGAAATAATTAATACTCAGATAAAAAGCCGAAAAAGGTGGAAAAAGGGGGAAAGTTCACTCTAGTAAATATAAAAATGTTAAAAGAGAAGATTATAAATAAAACCCAAGATCAGATTATTAATTAGTCCTTAATTAGCAATGGTCCAAGTCATGTCATTCTCAAAGATCCAGTGGCAGACTTCTATTTGTCCAGGGCCTGACCCCAGTGCCACGAAGGCTCCATGACCTGGACCCCATGCTGATGTGTCAATATGACAAATGGCAACACCTCGATTGATCTTAGCTCTGCTCTTCACCTCCAGGATTTCAGCCTCGTATACCCTAACTTGAGGTACCGAGTGACAGTAATACAGTAGATACGGGTACAGGCTCTGATGGCAAGACACCGATTTAGTCACTTGTCCGCCGTTGATTCCTCTGACTTTTCCTATCACGATCTTCTGCTTTGACCCCCTCACTGTCTCCGTGGTCTTGGGCTCGATATTGCGGCCCAAGATGGAAGAGGAAAAGTCGATCATGTCCTCAATTGTGCCGACACATTGCTTTGTCTCCCCTCGGCTTGGTGCCCTCTCGCACTCCGCCACCGCGGTGGCGAGCACGCCCCCCATGCTTGAATTCTGCTCGGCGTGAAAAATCTGCATGAGCTCCGGCAGGCTCGAGGACGAAAATGGTAATTTGGTCGATATGGGTCTGGGCAAAAATGACCTTCTCGGCATTTTATCCCGTAGGTCGGGCATCACCATGACGCTGCCTTCCTTTAACATGGATTCCCTGAAGAATTTACCCGGTTCCACCCATCTAAGTGTGGGACTGCTCGCCGGAGAACTCGCCGGAGAAATTCCGCGGGCGGTGTATTCACTGAAAGTGACACCCTTTTTGTGGTAATCTATAAAATTAGGATTCGATCCATAGGTTTTGAATCCAATCATCGGATCACCGAAGGAACCTCTGCCGTATTCTTTGAATGTATCGTTCGCTGGGTTAAATGTTTTCCCATAGTTGGCGAAATTCACTTCGCCGGAATGGGCATGGCTTGCGTAAGATTGGAAAGTATCATCTCCGGAATTAGCACCGTCTAGGTAGCTGGTGAATTTATCGACTCCTGAATCGGCACCGACGCCATAGGTTTTGAAATTGTTGTGTGGAGTGTTCCCTGAATCACCATATCCTTTAAACGAGTCGTTCGCCGCATTCCCCGACACGCCGTAACTCGTAAAATCCGACCTGATATTGTTGGCGTCGTTGCTGTAGCTGTTGAACTGGGACGGAACTGCATTGCCGTTCTTGCCGTAGCTTGTGAACGCTTCAGCGCCTGCATTTGCCTCCTCGGTATAGCTTGAAAATGAAAGCTTATGAGAATTAGCGTCGGAATCATACAAGATAAATCCAAGATTCGGCACGTTAACTCGTCCGTCGTAGGATGTGAAATCCCCGGAGCCACCTGTGGCGCCGGAGCCGTAATTGGTGAAGTTATCAGTAGCAACATTGACATCTTTGGCGTAACCTTTGAACTCTTCTGTGTGTGCGACTGAGTCTCCACTGTATTCATTGAAGGAATTAGCAGCCGTGTTTAACCCATCGGAGTAGTTCTTGAACAACCCAACTCCTCCGATTCTAGACGAACCGTACCTAGAAAAGCTTTTACCGGAATATAGTGCAAAGTTTGGATCTTGGCCGGGTTTGGAGTTGTCCAAAGAACAGAGGAGGTTGGCTGAGGAGCAGAAGGAGCCCAGGTTTGAAGAGAGATTGTTCTGAGCGGCAATTCTGGTAAACTTGGCCAATTCCATGGCATTTAGAGGGGAGGCCTTGGAGAGAAGAAACGGTGGCGGGGGAAGGTTGCCGGAGACGTGGGCCTTCCAGTATCGGATCACAGATGCTCTGGCACTGAGTGGGTTCTCTGCAACTTTGGTCATGATTCCTGCAGAAAAAACCTGCAAAAACTGGAGAATATTATGTTCTAAGAAACGAGCAAAGAGAAAAAAAACAGTATGTCTTCGTTCTTACATTGACAGATGACAGGGATAGATACAAGAAGAGGCAGAAAAGGACAGCCATGTTTGTTTGTTTGTTCTCTGAGAAAATTCTGGGAAATGAAAATGAAGAGGGGAAAAGCTCAAGCATTCTTATAAAAATAAATGGTTAAATGCTAAACTTGCTCCCTCAACTTTATAGGTTTGCACTTTTTTGGTCTTTAAGTTATTTTTTGCACTTTTGTGATTATTTGACTCTAAAAATTGCACAATTTTAGTCACTTCGTCAATTAAACATGACATGACAGTTAAATGATTTTACTTGACATTTTCTTTTAATTTTGTTGATGACATGGCAATAATATATATTATAATTATGTTATATAGATAAATAAAAATGTCACGTAGATAAATATTTATATTTTAATTAAAAAATAAAATTACTTTATTACCCTCACCTCCCAATCCCTCTTCTTCCCCTTCTTTCTTTCTCTTTCTTTCTCCTTCTTTCTTTCTTACCCAGATCTATTAGGTTTGTCGAAACCGAACTACTGGGTTCGCGTGACCAAGAAGGCTGGGTTTCGACGAACCCAGCTGCTGGGTTCACGCGACCAGCAATGATGGGTTTTGACGAACCTGGCAGCTGGGTCAAACCCAGCCTTGCTGTGTTTCAACCCTAGGTTCATGTTTTTTCATTATTCTATCGATTTCCATTCAATTTGGGGGTTGATTTACAATTTGATTGCATTTTTGTTGGAATTTGATTAGAGTTTGATTGCATTTTCATTGGAATTTTATTAGAGTTTGATTGATATTGTTTATTGAAGGGTTAATTTGATTTGATGCTATCTACTAGGCTTGATGAATTTAGTGGCTTTAATGTAACCAATGCCTGGGTTCAATGACAGAGAACTCAAATTTTGCTCTGGAGCATTCTAAGGTTCATAGACATATTGTTCTTTTAATTAGTTCTTTGCATGTAATATGGGACCCCATTTGAAGGGTTTTAGTGCGTTTGATTTGTGAGAGTATGACATGGCATAATATTTTGTCCATATCAACATCTTTTGAAGTTGTTTTCTCCATGTCGTCAATATGTCATTAAAAAAATATAAAAAATGCCATGTGGGTGGACTTAACAGCCTAAATTGATTGAAGGATTAACGTTGTGCATTTTTTAAAGTTGAGGGATCAAAAAAGTGCAAAAAATTATTGAGGGACCAAAAAAGTACAACTTTACAAAGTTGAGGGACCAAATTTAGCATTTAACCAAAATAAATTGGGTATAAGTGTGCCTTGAAAGGAAAGTTTCTGAGGTGTTATGATTCTCAA